TTTCACCACATCTATAGATTTATTTACTTAATTGGGCGGGGGGGGGGGGGGGGGGGGGTGTGGTGGCTTGAGACAGGCTCTCCCAGACTGTAGCCCCAGCTGACCTGGAACTCACTATGTAAACCAGGCTGGCCTTGAACTCATAGAGATCTGCCTGTCTCTGCCTCCCAAGTTCTGGGATTAAAGGCAAATTAACCCAAATGACAGGTTGAAATCTGGGCCCTGGCATTTACTAAGTTTGTGTTGTTGGGCAAATCTTTACCTTCTCCCTCTGTGCCTCAGTTTCCTTATCTGTATACTGAAGATAGTGATGGCAGTTATTTCTGAGGGCAGCCGTGAGGGCTCTGTGAGTTTCTGTAGATGAAGCACTGACCAGTGCCAGCACCCAGCAGACACTCAGTGTGGACCAGCAACCACTGTCATTACACTTATTTAAAAGGGAAATTTTATGTTCTAAAGTGAAAAAAATCAGTACCAGTTAACACAAATAGAGAGCTATGTTAAAAATAAATGTAGTGAAAATAGTTATTATAGTCCAGCTATGTATATATAAAATAAGTGTTCCGCCAAATCCTGCTCTGATTCTGCCAAGAAGAGAAAGCAAGGTCAGAAAGATGATGAAGGCGCACTGGGTTCAAACAAGGGTGACCACTCCCTGATCTGCCTGAGTCTGTTCTGGTTTTAGCCAGACACTGGACTTCAAATACAAATCCCTCCTTGGTGTGAAAGACCAAGAAGAACTTGACAAAGTGTTCTGACAATGTAACTGTCTGTAGAAGGCTGGTCAGTGTCCCACTTACAATTACTTTTCAGAACAAGCCCATGTAGCAGGCCACACAGCGTAGATCAACCTTTGAGAGCTGAGCCCCCAAGTGCCAGCCATTGTACCATTTTCCCCAAGTGGGAAAGCCATTGTACTGTGTGTGTCTCTGAGATAACCCTCTAAGGAAACCCCACATTGCAAAGGCCACTGACAGGAAAGATGATTAAACTGGCACAGCTCAAATGACTCTGCAAAACACTATCCCAAAATCATGCTTGAATAATCTTTAATGATACAGAGAAAAAGATTATGATGGAATGTTTTGCTTTGAAAAAATCAGACTACAATACCATTTAAGGTCTTAGTTTTGTAAAATGTAGAGAAATATAAAGAGTCTACTGGGCTGGGGATGTAGCTCCATTGGTAGAGGGCTTGCCTACCTCGCACGCGTGAAGCCCTGGAGTTGGTTGATCCCCAGCAGCACATACAGCAGATATGGTGGGGCATACCGAGGCAGGAGAATCAGAGGTTCAAAGTCATCCTTGTCTACATATTGAGTTTAAGGTCAGTCTGAGTGATGTAAGAAAGAAGAAAAGAGGGAAGAAAGGGAAGGAGAGGACAGGACAGGACAGGACAGGAGTCTACAAAGTCTACAGTCATCTCTCCTAGAACAAGCTCAAACTCACATGACCTCAAAAGCCAAGCAGGGTCTGGCCTAGTTAGAACTTGAATGGGGGCACTGGAGAGATGGCTCAGCAGTCAGGAGCACTGTCTGTTCTTGCAGAAGATCCGGGATTGATTCCCAGCATCCACATGGCAACTAATAACCATCTGTAACTCCAGTTCCAGGGGATCCAATGCCCTCTTCTGTCATTCCACAGGCATTGCATGACATGGGTGCATTTACATGCAGGCATAACACCCATACACATAAAATAAAAATAAATTAATAAAAAGAACCTGAATGGTAGAAGCATTAACACCCCATAATTTCAGCAATATTTACCTCTGAGTGATGAGATTCTGAAGGGGTTCTTAGCTTTATAATTAGCTGTTTCTGGAACTCACTATGTGGACTAGGCTGGCCTTGAACTCACAGAGATCCGCCTGCCTCTGCTGGGATTAAAGTTTTGCTCAACCACACTTGGAGGAAGCACAGGCATTTCTAAGTCAGGACTCAGGACATCATCTGGGTTTTGCCTCTGGGTGGCATGAACACCTCCCAGTGCTTGGATTAAAGAAAAATAATGGGGGAAGAAAGTAGAGCTGAATAAGCCCAGTTCTCTTTTATATTAATAACTTTAATTGTATTTTTAATCATACAGTTACTGGAAAGGCATTTGGTTGAATTTAAGATTGTTTTTGAGAATTTCGCACCTATGTACAACGTACTGTGATCATATTCACCCTCGTTACCCTCTCTCACCCACTTCCTACTCCTCCTGACTGCTTTCTCTACTAGTTAGTCCTCTCTTACTTTCATGTCTTTTTTATTTATTTTTTTGGCCCATTAAGTTTAATTAGTGTTTGTGTGGGCATGGGTAAGCAGTTATTTACTAGCACATAGGTAACTTACCAGTGGACTAAAGAAAATGATGCTCTGGCAACCATTAACTGCCAATAGCTCCTTGGGGAGGAGTTCCCCTGCCAGCTTTTCTGTCTGTCCGTCTGTCTGTCACTTGCTTCCTATCTCCCTCAGAGAAGTCCCTGGCAGGGAAGACAAGGCTTGCCTAAGGCCATGGACAGAAGTTATCTCTGCTAAGGTGTCTTATCCAAAGGGCCATGTGGTGAGGCTGACCTGGGCTGTCACCTGAAGTCCAAAATTCACAGGGCTTGTTGTGATAGCCCCTTTCTCTCTCTTCTTGACTCTCCCATGATTGGACAATGGTACTCAAAAACTGGCCTGTGACCTGTTACTAAAGACAGGGTGACATTTACTGCAGAAAGTGCCCTACACTGGAGAGAGCCAGCCTGAGCTAGAACCCCCCTCACCACAACCAGCAGCTGTGTGTCTGAGTTCTAACACAAGTACTGAATTGAAGAACAGAGCTGGCCTAGGTCTGGGTACACAGTAGGAGTTCAGTTAATACCATTTCCTTCCCCTATTTTCCTTTGCATTTATTACACCAGAATGCCTTCTCTCTCCTCTGACTCAAATAGCTCCCCAGGGGTAGAGGCTTAGTCTGGAGGTTTTGACCTTTTCACCTGGACCTTGGCTTTTCCTTGGGCAGTAAAAAAACAGTCTAGCCACATCAAAATGGTAAGGATCAGTCTAATGGCCTTATGGGGTTACCCAAGTGATAAGGCAAGGAGAGACAAATAATAGAGCTCCCTGCATCCAGCATCCTTCAAGCCAGACTACAAGACTCTGACCATCGGCACCCAGGTTCTGTTTAACCAAGACAAACCTTAGAAGCATTGCAACCATTTATTCATCCAAAACTGATTGACTCCGAGTACCCAGTAGGCTCCCAGCTTCATTCTGGGTATGGAACACATAGAGTGGACTCTGCCTCATAGCCTTCAATCTCCTGTCCTGCTGTATCTCAGCCCATCATGTAAAGAATCCAGCTTCCTCCCACAGACTCACAGAATGTCTTATCCCCAAATTTAGTCTCCTGGGCCCACTGAGAATTGAGAATTCAGTTTTAAGTGAAGATTTCACATGGCTCTAACTAAACCTACCCAAGATACCTTGTCATGTGGTGGTACTTAACACCCTCTAGCCCAGGTGTCCCCATCTGTAAAGCTGAGGGGCAGATATAGCTGTCCTAGCATTGCTGTAAGATCACATTGACACCATGTGACAGCCCCAGATACAAGCTGTGTGACGTTTCTGAGACACAAGACAAGGATGGTGATAAAAATCTCTGCTTTGCAGGGCTCAGGAGTAAGGAGTTACTGAACAGCTTAATATCCCCTGGGTAGGAAAAGCTCTGTGTTGAAACCCCATGTTGGCTTCTTTCCCTCAGAAAACACATTTATGGGGATGATTATTGATCATATTGTAGCAATTAGCACATTATCCTTCCCAGACATCTCAGAGGATTCATGGAACTGTCTCCCCTACCACCAAAGACACAGAAAGAGAAGCGTACACATGCACACATACTATTGAATTGTGGACCAAACATAACAACAACTATTTTGTCCCTTGGTCAAAAATCACAAGCCACTATTGGAGGTCCTCACAGCTGTCAGGTGTGAACTTATGCAGCCCTGGGTTCCAGTCCCAGCTCTGACCCTTCTTGTGTGACTCGGGCAAGTCGCTTAACCAAGGGCTAGGTAACTGCACCTGCTGAACAGGTATGTGTTACCCCCTGTTAGGGAAAGCCCCCTCCTCCCAGGTCCTGCCTCCCTTGTGCCCCAGCCTGGCAGTCCTGGGCAGCTTCCTCCTCCTCCCTGCAGAATGCAGCTCAGCCAAGTACCGGGGCTGTTTTGCTTCCTCTGCCACCCTGGAGCTGCCTGAAGAGTGTTGCAGAACAGCATCTTTCGTTTAGGGAAGCAGGAGGGCTGGCCAAGGATCCCAGGCTATGTTGCTGTTGATGAAAGCTACACAGACTCTCCAGCTTTTACAACTGTTTACTGCACAGGAGGGAGCAGGGAGCTGGGCCTCTCCCAGGCCTTGCTCCCTGCCTTCTCTTTGAGAAAGCCCATCCTCAAAACTCACTCTAGGAATAGCTTTAAATGGCCTCTGGAAGGGTGCAGGCTGGGATACAGACTTGGACACACACACACACCCCACATCTAAGGAGCAGTGAAAGGTGAAAGGGCACAGAAGAAATACAAAAGGAGAGGTGGGGACAGAGATGGAACAGGCTGTGACTAGGCACAGGTCAGGAAGGTGAAGGAGAGAAACAGAGGCAGGGTCAAGGATGGAGATGGCCGGACCACGGGTTCATACACTCAGACTTCAGAAGGACCAAGGAAGAGACATAGAAACCCAGCAGAGAGAAAGCCCACCCCAACTGACTTGCACAGCTCTGGGGCTCTTCCGCTGCCACAAAGGTTCCCACAGGAAAGCCCAGGGTGAGGGTCTCCGTGAGAAGTCACACCTTCACCCCAATTTGGGTGTGCTTTCCAATGGCGAGCTGAGGGGGCAGGATTTAGTGAAGACTGGCAAGTTCATTTCTTATTTAAAACTTAAAATAACAGCAATAAAGATACTCAGTTGAAATGTCACCCAACCAGACCACCTCCCCTGAAAGTTAGGCGCCCCCATTCCAGCTCCCTGTACCTTTAAGGAGAAGGCGACTTGCTCTGCTTCCCTCTGGACTGAAGAGGCACGTTATTCTAGGCTATAGCGATGACTTACCTAAAACTGAGTTATTCCCCTTTCCTCCCCTGGCCAGCCTCTCTTCACTCTGGGGAGCTTTTACCATTTAAGGTCAATGTTACATCTGGCTCCCGAGCTGGGAGCTGAGGAGCTCTGGCTGCAAAGCTCCGGCTGCCCGCCTCCTCCTCAGAGAGGGGCTGGGATGAGGGGCTGGGACTGGGAACCAGGGTTCCACCAGGGCCCCCTGCAGCCTGACTGTGGGCTAAAGACCCAGAAGCCTCCCTACCAGTTTCAGGGTTTGGGGCGGGGGTGAGAGGTTGAGCCTGAGAGGTAGCATCTCACCCTGGGCCCTTGAAGGGCACCCCCATAGCCGATAGCAGTGTCCAGGGGTAGTTCAAGCTACGAGACACTGTCTTTGTCATATGGAGATGAAGGGGGGTCTACAGACCAGGCTCCTACCCAGGAGTGTCCAGAGAGCATGTGAGCCTGGATTAGACCCTGGCCCAGTGCCCAGAGAGGCTGGGTTGTTTCCTGTCCCAGGGATTTGGGGGCGGGTGCTGCTCCCATCCTGAACCCTTGGGATTGCCAGAGAGAAGCAAGGCGTGGGGAGAGGGTTTGGGTAGCTCCAGACCTGGCCCAGCCACAGGGGGCAGGTCTCCTACAGTCTTAACATGGCAAGCTTCACATCTATTCATCTCCAAATTGGGGGTGATAGTGATACTACAGGGTCCCCTGGACCAGGATCTCAGGTGCTGAATCACCATGAATGGGCTGTGTATTCCCACCCCACCCCTCCCAACACAGGTGGGGAGGGTTGCCTCTCCTAAAGTCCACACCCTGCCGACCCTAGCCCCTCACCCTCCTCAGATACAGTGCCCACCGAAGGCTAGGATCACAGAATGCCAACCCTAAGACAACCACATGGGGGCTCCACAGCCCCTCTGGAGTTAGAGACAACAACGGTGAAGTCCTTGGGCCCTATGACCAGAAAACCACAGAGTACTTGTTTAAATTCAAATCTCAAGGGAAACCTAATTATTTCAGTATAAGCATGCCTCAAATATTCCATGAGACATGCTTGTACTAAAAGATTATGTGGTGTTCATCTGAAGTTCAAAGCCATCACTTGCTGCCCCAGAGAAACTTTGCCAATCCTGGGCAAGACCAGGAAGGATTACAGGCCAAAGGCCCATGACCTCATGTCCTCTTGGTCTAGCTGCTGGTCAGTCACCATAGCTGAGACAGGTAACTGATCAGTTCTCCTCTGATCTGAGCCCATCCCAGGCTTTCTTCTAACATATCCTGACCTGTGTCTCTTTTGGAGTGTTATGAGTACTATTCCTGCTGGGATTGTAGATCTGTATGTTACCCTCATTGATGCTTGTCTCTTTTTTTAAATAGATGAAGCCAGGGAAGGCTGTCTTGGATCATGCTTTCTCTTGGGCACAAACACCTGTCTGTGAATACACATCCCACTGGCAAAGCCACATGCGGGAACGCCTAACATCAACCAAGCTGTCTAGCATGAATTCATCAACTCAACTGACTCTAATCTCCAAGTGTGAAGCCCTTTGACCAGAGTCCCCTTCCAGAAATCCCAATTGCATGGAGCTGGGTTTGAAGTAGGAACCAGGAATCTCAAACTAAGGCCCTCGGGCGATTCCCATATTCTTTATGTTAAGGAGTGTTGATGTAGAGGGTATTACGGGAACCTCTAGAAACCAGAGGTTGAGGTGGAACCTAAGGCCTGTATGCATGTGAAAGTGCATACACACTTGAATGTATTTAAACCATATATTAAACTCCTACTGTATTCCTAGAAGTACATGATAAGCTGTAAAAGCACAGTGTCTTAGGAAGCAGAATTACTACATCCTTCCTTCAAAAGAAAACTGAGGCTCAAAGAAGTTGAGCAATTTGTCAGATGTTCCTTGGCCTTGAGTGTAGGAGCTGAGATATGAGCTGAGGTGGTTTGCTCTAAAACTACCCTCTTTCCATCTGCTGCCCTTCTACCATGGCTCTCAACCTAGGAGTTATGCATGGCCTTCATGAGTCTTTGTTATTTGTGTTTCTCTTGGTAGAGGCCCAAAGTTTTCACCAAACTCACAAAGCAGTCACCAAGTATCTTTAAAAAAAAAAAATCACTTCATTGACACAAACGTTTTATAAAATACATTACTTGGTGGGTGTGCAAAATGGAACAAGCTCTGTAGAGAACTAGAGGAACTCAGCAGAATTGGGTTGTAAGGTTCATGTCTGTGACCCAATTCTACTTCTAGGAATTTATTCTGTAAACATACTCCCACACTTGGGAAATGACAAATGAACATGATTATTCCTTGCAGCATTGTTTATAAAAGTGAGGAGATTAGTAATGCCATAAATGTTCACTAATTGGGGGACACAAAAAGATGGGGTGTGGCCATAATAAAGGATGAGGAAGTTCTTGCTATGGTGATGGGAAAAGCTTCCAAGATATATTATGACATGGGAAAAAAGATAAAAAGAACATTGTCTACCAAATGGGTGGGAATAGTGTATGTATAGGCATATTTACATATATTCAAATATACTTATACACATTCATATATATTTAAATTCACAATTGCATGTGAGTATGCATACAAGAATTGGGACAAAAGTAAATAACATTAAAACTGATTATTCAGGGCTGGAGAGATGGCTCAGTGGTTAAGAGCACTGACTTCTCTTGCAGAGGACTTGGGTTCGATTGCCAGCACCCACATGGCGGATATGGACAGTCCTTACCTCCAGTTCCAGGGGAATCGGACATCCTCTTCTGACCTCCATGGCATTGCATGACATGGGTGCAGTCACATGCATGCAGATAATATACTCACACACATAAAATAAAAATAATTAATAAAATATTTTTAAAAACTAGTTGTCCACAGTTTGGAGAGGTTGCTCAGTGGTTAAAGGCACTGGTTGGTCTTGCAGAGGAACCCGAGTTCAGTTCTCAGCACCCACATGGTGGCTAACACCCATCCTCAACTCTAGTTCCACAGGATCCCACACACTCTTCTGGCTTCTGTGAGCACCTGGCATGTATGTGGTGTACTTACATACATGTTGGCAAAACACTCATACACATAAAAATAAAAATAAATAAAATCTTAAAAAATAAACTGGTTTTCCATGGGAAAGGGAGCTGAATTCTGTGATAAAGACTAACCACTGGGGCTGGAGAGATGGCTCCATGGGTAAAGGTGCCTACCAGCAAGCCTAGTGAACTAAATTCAATCCTCAGGCCCCACATGATGGAAGGAGAGAATTAACTCTGCAAGTTGTCCTCTAACCTCCACATGCCTACCATGACATGCATGTGCCCACATGTATACATATACACACAAAATAAATGAAATGTAATAATTTTTTAATTAACCACTATATCCACTGTGTGCCTTATTTATGCATTTAAAGTCTTGGGCCATAGCAATAAGTCATATTCAATAATAACAGTGATGTTAAACAGAGTTTAATTTCATCTTCCAGCACCACTCCTTCCAACTATCAAGAGTTCTGGATGATCCTGACTAAAGGTTATTGGTGTGCTTTTTAAACCTTTTATTTTTGAATAATTATAGGCACACAGGAAGTCATAAAAATATAATATAGTCCCAGCTGGGCATGGTGGCTCACACCTTTAATCCCAGGAGGCAGACGCAGGCGGATCTCTGTGAGTTCAAGGCCAGCCTGGTCTACATAGTGAGTTCCAGGCCATCTGGGGCTACTGGGAGACCCTGTCTCAAAAAGACCAAAAAAAAAGTACATAATCCCAAGTACCTCTTCACCAGCTTCAGTTACATATTTCAGATTCAGGAAACTGACACTTGGATGTTACTGTCAACTACACTCTAAATCTCATCCCAAAGATGATTTTTAAAATACAATTTTGCAGCTCATTCATTCATTTAAAAATGTTCATTGATGTGGCTGCAGAGATGGCTCAGTGGTTAAGAGAATGTGCTGCTCTTGCAGAGGACCCAGGTTCAGTTCTCAGTACCCATGTTCAGTGGCTCACAACCACTTGTAACTCCAGCTCCAGGGGATCTGACATCCCTTCTGACTTCCACAGGCACCTGCACTCATGCACACACATACCCAGGCACACACACGCACACACAATTAGAAATTTGTTTAAAATATTCATTAACTTTCTTTGGAAGCTGGAGAGATGGCTCAATGGTTAAGAGCACTGGCTGTTCTTGCAGACGACCTGGATTCAAATCCCAGCAGCCACATGGTGGCTAACAACCATCCGTAACTCCTGTTCCAGGTAATCCAATGCCCTTTTATATCCTCCTCAGGCATTGCAAGGCACGGGTGCGCTTACATGCATGTGGCAAAACACTCATACCCATAAAATAAAAATAAAATTTAAAAAAATGTTCATTAAGCACCTTTGGTGAGCTCATCCAGTGCTGGCTGATGGGATGTCGTAGGGATATCTGTGACCCATGTGTGCCCTCTTAGTGACCCCATAAGGCATGTGACAGCAACATCACAGAGACCTGGGATTCAGCAATGCAGGAGTGTAGACCACAACTCTAAAAAAGGAACTGTGTCCTTCACTGTCCTGATCACAGAGCTTCACAGCTTGCCCGAAAGCTGACTTTTAATCCTTAAAAGAGCATGAGCAATTACCCTGGCTATATTTATCCTTGTTCCTGGAGCCACACAGGGATTTGGCCTCACTCTACCAAAATCTCTAGCTCATCACTCATCATCGACTCTAACTTATTAGCGACTGTCATGTGTCCCCGACACAAAAGCAGTGGGCCAACAGAGGCACGCTGGCCCACAGATCAGGGGTGCTCTCCACTGGTCATCTGATCCAGACCCAGGAAAGAAGTTTTTAAGGCCCAGGAAAACAAACGTGCATCCTGGGACCAGAGGGACGCCAAGGGAGGAGACCTGGCCTCCTGCCAAGAACACAGCCTGCCCTGGGAGTTGATTGCTGGATGGCCTCTCTGGGAGCTTGAATTCCCTGCCCCTGTTAAATTTAGGGATTCTGTGAAGGCTCCGCACTTAGCAGGCTCGAGTTGAGTGGATAATGAGAGACCAAATCACCAGGCATGGCATCCAAACAACCATGGGTGTCATGCACCAAGATCAGTGTCAGGCATTTGGCCAACCACTTTGCCTACATGGTCTGATGCCGCCATCATTGCCAAATCTACATGATGTGGGGCTTCCCACCCCTACATCCTAGACAAAGAAATGGATGTAGAGAGCTGAAGGACCTGGCGGCTGTCTTGCAGTTCACAAGCTCAGGTCTTTCTGATGCTAGAGTCCCCACGTGACCAATCCAAGACCACAGACTGGGAAC